AAACTAAGTGATATAAACTTTGTTCTAAATATGTGACTTCTGTTCAGTGTTTTACAGAACTTGAACACCTGTCTTTAAAATTACAAGAAAAGAAAACCACATTGCCTGAAGCACATCATTTAGTTCTTGTTAAGTATCACGTCCTTCAGTCCATGGCAAATAATCCAGGTGAGTATTATTCTGAAGTTCTAATGGCTGCTGATAAATTAGAATTTAAAGGAGTTAGCTTAGAACACGGAAAAGTGCAGAAGATTAGTGAACAACAATTCTTTCAGAAATTAAGTGACAATATAAACACCCGAATGTTCACTACTAGAGCTTCACACGAATCGACTGGAAGTAGTAACACAACATGGTCAAACAGGGACAAATACAGTCAGTTACTGGACAACTTGAAAATAATGGATAAGGCTAAGTGGGTAAAATGTCGAGATCCATGTTTTGCTGATAAAGAGATTAGGGAACTCGCTGAGTCATTTATGGTGTGTACGAAAACTTCAGTTCTTGGATTCCATGAATATTACATGAATATAATGAATGGTGATGACATGTATCCTGATGAACTAAAGCTGTTGATTGCAGCTGCAAATACTATTATTATTTCAACTGCAGAGTGTGAGCGTGCATTCAGCAACATGAACAACATTATTTCAACCATCCGAAGCTCGACGCTTTTAAAAACAGCATCTAGTTTAATGTTTATTTCATCAGTGGGACCCCCTCTTAGTGCTTTCGATGCAGAATATTATGTAAAACAATGGCTAAAGAAAGGACATTGACATGCAGATTACCAGTCTTGTGCAGCCTACGCAGATAGAAGATGAAAGCAATGAAAACATCTGGAAAATATTCTAAAGATAAGTACTCATGACGCATGTGTGACTTTATTTTAACGCATGCCAATTAAACTACTGTAATATGTTCGTAGGTCTTAGATGGAACACAGACTATATACATCACTCGGTATATTTTCATAATTTATGTCTATGAATTAAAAGGGGAAAACCATCGTGGTTCTAATTTCATTCCACCTCAAGCACCGACAATAGATGTAGTTTGTCTCCAGAAAACATTGAAAGACTTCTAGTTGCCTATTGTGATGCTACTTTCTGCATTGAATGATACATGTAAATAGGTGAGTCTGAATAAAATGACCTGTTTCTTAAGTGCATATTTTCCTGCTTTTTAGTGCATTTTACATGTTTTTAGTCCATATTTTAAGTGTTTTTAGCGCATAAAGATCTGGCCCCTAGTCATATCTAATTGCTTGTCCACACCTTTTGACTCCTACATTACTCTACAAATTTTGATGAATCTTTGTATTTTAGCTACATTAAGAGTTATTGGGCACAGCTAATTTCATTACATATTAGCCCAATATAACTCCCCATAAATAAAGCACATACCATTTTGCATAACTTTAATGAATATTTTCCAGGTTTTGAAGATTCCTTGATACAGTTGCATAGAGCCAATAAAGAATGATAGACTTCAATAATATACAAAGCTGAACATTTTTTCCTTTGAAGAAAGCAGTCTTCTGGGATTTGGCACCGTGTATATGTGGTGTTAACCGACGTTTTGGAGAAACGTATCGCCTCCATCTTCAGGGTAGAAGAAAAAAAAATTATATAAGAATCTGCAAGCAAAGAGTCCGTGAGAACCGGTAAAAGCAGACTGCCAAATCCCAGAAGACTGCTTTCTTCATAGTCACTGCCGTGAAAGCCTCAAATCTTACATTTTTCCTTTCTTTGGAATTTTATATTTTGGCATGAGGATCCACTGATGAATAGTGACCTTGAAACATGCAACAGAACAACATCAGCTACTAGGCAGCTGATTCTTAATAAGCAAGTATACGCAGTTGTTACCTTTGCAAACTCATTCTGACAGAAATGATTGGCACAACAATAGAAGACCCTTGTTTTCTGTTAGTCTGTGCGAGATTATAAGGAAAACAGTTGAAGCAAGAATTTAGAATTGCTAGGGAGTTTGTGAAGAGAAGACTTGGTTGGTGCAGTTAGCACATTGTTAGAATCTGTTACCAAGAAATAACTAGTGAAGACACAGCAGACTGAAAAGACTTAGTGTGTGTGCTGTAGTGATTTGTAAAGTGTGCAAGTCATTGATGGCACTATAATTAAGTGTAGTCACAAGTTGTGTGTTATAGTGGTCAATAAATCCAATCTCCAATCCAAAACTTTGCATATCGTCATGCATACACATGGCAACTGGTGTCAGAGGTGGTTGGATTGGACATTGC